TTCTAGTAAAAATCTTGTTTTTGATTTGCAGTGAATATTCTAGAGCAGGGAGTTAGTATGTAATATTTGAAGTAATATAGTTTTCTTGAGATGTATAAATACTCTAGGATCCTTGTGAAACAAACACACAATGAAATAATACAAAAGAAATTTTCTTCCATATCTAATGAGCTTCCTTCTCCCCTCCCCGGTTCTAAGTTTTTCATGATGGTATCAGAGCAGGTTTATCCTGCCTGATCACCTATCATTTCCGCTGCCTTTTTTTTTGGTATTTTTCCCTTCTTGTTGCTTGTCTTTCCCTGTGTTTTTTTTTTTTGGAGTTCTTTCTTTGTATCAGATCTGGTCCTATCCTTGTGTTTCTGCGGTTCAATCATTTTTTGTTCCATTCTCGACCATTACCTGTTTGATTTGCTGCCTAAATGGATCGAGAGGAAGAAATTATGAATGCCAGAAAAGAGCAATTGATGCTCCATGGATCTGATTCGCCTGGAACCATACTGGTTACAGTGCCCCTTACAGAGAAGAATTATCTCATATGGAGAAATTCTATGATCATAGCATTGGAAGCCAAGGAGAAGCTGGGATTTGTGGACGGTAGCTATGTGATGCCAAGAGAAGGATCTCCGGATTACCACAAATGGCGTCGAGTCAACAGCATGGTCGTTTCATGGATCAAGAACTCCATATCTTCTGAACTGGTAAATAGTTTTACCTTCATCACTGGAGCAAAGGAACTTTGGGATGAAATACATGAAAGGTATGGAGCTTCAAACTCTGCTCTTCTATTTCAACTGAAGAGGGAAATTGCACTTGCAAGGCAAGGAGATCTGTCAATTGTTCAATACTACAGCTACATCAAGCAGCTGTGGGATCAATTGGAACAGCTCAGGCCTATGCCAGCATGTGATGATACTGTTAGGAAGGTTCTGTTGGAAAGAGATGCAGAGGATAAAGTGATGCAGTTACTGATGGGTCTTAGTGATGTTTTTGAAGCAGAAAAGAGTCAAATCCTTCTAATGGACCCTATTCCTACAGCCAACAAGGTCTATTCTATGCTGTTGAAAGCTGAGAAGCATAAGCAAGTGGCTAATTCGATTGTGTCAATTAATGACAATGCTGCTATGATGGTGAAAGGATCCAACCCTAAGTGGAAGAAGGATGCAGGACAGAAGCAACCCTATGTGAAGAAGGATAAGAGCCATTTGTTTTGTACACACTGTCAGAGAACAGGACATCTCAAGGAAGACTGCTTCAAGATTAAAGGCTATCCAGATTGGTGGAAACCTTCCAAGGGAAAAACTCAAGCAGCTAATAATGCTAGCAGTTCTGACACTCCTGTGGATAATGTTGATTATCCCGGTAAGGATTTGGGAGCTATGATATCTGAAGCAGTTCAGAAAGAGATTGGCAGATTCATGAAAGGAAAATATCCATTGGAAGCTGCAAATGATCATCAGGTGAACTTTGCACATTTCCAGGATTTTGCAGGTAATACCATTTTTACTTTTCTTAGTTCCAAGCTTTCTGATTATATACATAGAGATGCTTGGATATCAGATACTGGTGCTACTAGTCATATGTGTGCCTACATAGCCATTTTGAAACACACAAAATCCATCACCAAATGCACTCCTGTACAATTGCCTGATGGAAATATAACCTTTGTTCATTCTATAGGTGATTATGACATTCATGATTCTATAACTCTGAAAAACTGCTTATATGTGCCCTCCTTCAAACATAATCTGCTTTCTGTTAAGAAATTAGCAAAAGACTCACATGTGTTTTTCCGTTTCTTTGAATCATTTTGTCTACTGCAGGACCTATGGACTCATAAGGTCATTGCAGCTGGTAAAATAATACAAGGATTATACGTTTTAGACAGAAGTTCATTCTCTGAGATAGCTATTTTGCAATCTCAGGAACTTTATGCTTCTTATATGTTAAGTTTTAGGCCTCCTAATGTTCTAGAACCAAGGAATAATGTTTTGAGAAAAGCACTAGCTGCTGTTACCATTAGCACCTGGCATCTAAGGTTGGGACATCCCTCCTCAAATGTAATAAGGGTTTTAGCTGATAAGCTTTCTGTAAAGGGCAAAGAATGTACTCTTGATCAATGTGATGTTTGTCCTTTATCCAAACAAAGTCGAAATCCTTTCCCTAAAAGCTCTAGTAAATCAGCACATTGTTTTGCTTTATTGCATATTGATGTTTGGGGGCCATATAGCAAACCTTCTTACAATGATCACAGTTTTTCTTAACCATTGTGGATGATTATAGCCGGTGTGTATGGACATTCTTATTCAAGCATAAAACACAGGTTGCCAACATTCTTACATCTTTTTTTTCCTATGTCAAAACACAATTCCAAAGCCATGTTCAGATCATCAGGACGGATAATGGCACTGAATTCCTGAGTGACAAGTTTCAGCAGTTACTCAGTAGCCTAGGTATAATTCATCAAAGAAGTTGTCCCTATACACCACAGCAAAATGGTGTTGTTGAGAGAAAGCATCGACATATCTTACAGGTTGCCAGGGCTCTTTTGATCCAATCCAACCTTTCCAAATCCTTTTGGGGGGAATCCATTCTCACTGCAACCCATCTCATCAATCGCCTTCCTTCACCATTCCTTAGTTGGCATTCACCTGTTGAGCTATTAAACGGCAAGATCCCTGATCTATCCTATCTAAGAGTCTTTGGTTGCCAGGCTTTCGTTGTTGATACTTCCCTAGCCGTGACAAATTTGATGCTAGGTCGCATAAGGGCATCATGGTAGGATATCCACCTAATCAGAAAGGTTACAAAATTTTTGTTCCCTCTCTTCATAAGATTATTGTGTCTAGAAATGTCAAATTCCAAGAGGATTTGTTTCCATACAAACCTGTTGATAATAATATTGCATTACTTCCTAGAATTTCCAGCCATGATGAGGATTTCTCATTCACAGAATCCGTGATACCTCATGAAAATATATCTGATCAAACTCAAAATGAGTTTTCTTCTTCAAATTTAGACCACCCTCCTGATCCTTCCATTCTTCTTGATCAGAATTCATCACACCCCTTGCCTTCTCAATCATCCACTGTTTCTACTTCCCCTTCACCATTTGCTCCACTTCGTCGTATCACCCGAAACACCACTCAACCATGTTGGTTAAAAGATTTTGTACGCTTTTCTCACTGTTTGCATGTTTCTGAGCCTAATTCTTCCACCTCTGATTGTTGTTTCTCTTCTAGTCATAAACAATTTCTTGCAAACATATCTGATATCCAAGAACCTACTAGTTATAATCATGCTAGGACTAATGAAAAGTGGCAGGAAGCTATGAATGCTGAGTTGCAAGCATTGGAGCAAAATGAAACATGGATATCTTGAGAATTGCCAAAGGGGAAGAAAGCTGTGGGATGTAAGTGGGTTTATAAAATCAAATGCAAGCCTGATGGTTCTATTGATCGTTACAAAGCAAGTTTGGTTGCTAAGGGGTACACACAGGTGGAAGGAGAGGACTTCACAGAGATTTTTTCCCCAGTGGCCAAAAACGTTACAGTACGCGTTCTGATTGCACTTGCAGCATCTAAGGATTGGTGCCTTCATCAGTTAGACGTGAACAATGCATTTCTGCATGGTGCATTGGATGAAGACGTCTACATGATTCCACCCCCTGGTTACACCACTGCAAACACAAATCAGGTCTGTAAGCTCAAAAAATCCCTCTACGGTTTAAAACAAGCATCTAGAATGTGGAATACCGAGTTGACAGATACTTTGATCTCCTATGGTTTCAAGCAAGCTTTCAGTGATCACTGTCTTTTCATCCTCGATCATGCAAACTTCTTTATTGCTTTGCTGGTTTACGTTGATGATATCCTTCTTACTGGCTCGCATGAACCCGAAATCCTTAAAGTCAAGCAGTTTTTAGATAGGAAGTTTACCATCAAAGATTTGGGATATGCTAAGTACTTCCTAGGGATGGAAATTGCACGTTCTCCGGAAGGTTTGTTTTTAAGTCAAAAGAAATATGTTCTGGACCTTCTACGTGACACAGGAATGCTGGATTCTACACCTGCCGGCACTCCGTTTCCCCCTGATCTCCGGTTCTCTGATGAAAAGAAAGATACAACACCCTTGCTGACAAATCCGGGTCAATATAGAAGACTTGTGGGGCGCTTGCTATATCTTAACTATACGCGGCCTGATTTGACTCATTGTGTACAATAGTTGAGTCAATTTGTTCACGCACCCCATGAATCTCATTGGTATGCAGCCCAACATGTTCTTCATTATCTCTCTGGCTGTCCACATCAGGGTTTGTTTTACTCCAAGGAAAGTTCTTTCAACCTTACAGCTTTCAGCGATGCTGATTGGGGGACTTGCAAAACTAGCAGACGTTCCTTAAGCGGCTATTGTATTTTCCTTGGTACGAATCTTATTTCCTGGAAGACGAAAAAACAAAGCACCATATCCTGCTCTACTGCCGAATCTGAATACCGTGCCATGGCCGTGACGGTTCGTGAACTACAATGGCTGAGTTATTTACTCCATGATCTCAAGATTGATCTCCCTCTACCAATCCCTTTCCATTGTGATAACAAAGCAGCACTTTATATTACCGCCAATCCAGTTTTTCACGAACGCACAAAACATATCGAAATAGATTGTCATGTGGTTCGTGAACAATACAAGAACGGGTTCATCAATCCCCTACATATTACTTCAGCTGACAATCTTGCCGATTTCTTCACTAAACCGCTTTCTTTGTCAGTGTTTGCACGCCTTCTGTCCAAGCTCAGCATGTGGAAGCCTTCCCCAGCTGTGCTTGAGGGGGGAATATTGAAGGATCACACTGCAAACACTGCAATGATCCTTTCCCTTTGAAACACATTTCAAAGCATTCGAACCACCGACTAAAGGAAACGACGACGTTCTTGTTTCCTGCTCTTCTTAAAGCTTAAACGCAGCACACGCAGGACGGTTCATACAATTGGCGTGACTTGATGATGAGCTGGAGAACTGAGCTGGAATTGATGCGAAGCTTCCGGAATCGGGACAGCTCACACATTATGCTTGGAGAACGGGCATGCTTGAAGATCACGTCAAGGAGCTTCTAGTAAAAATCTTGTTTTTGGTTTGCAGTGAATATTCTAGAGCAGGGAGTTAGTATGTAATATTTGAAGTAATACAGTTTTCTTGAGATGTATAAATACTCTAGGATCCTTGTGAACCAAACACACAATGAAATAATACGAAAGAAATTTTCTTCCAGATCTAATGAGCTTCCTTCTCCCCTCCCCGGTTCTAAGTTTTTCATGAATCATCACAATTTCTTTCGCTGATAATTGGTTTACTTATTTTTTCAAATACATTTATATGAACTTTTTATTTTTGCTGAGTCCGAAATTACCTACTCTATTTTATTTTATCTTCTCCATTATAATAAAAGTTGTTAAGCACCGTTGATAGTCGTACTTTGACTGACTGCCATGTCTGACTTGCGGACTTGACCCTCTTCGGGGGCCCACACACCTCACCTCCACCAAAGCACCACTATATATAGATTGCATCCCTGCAACTGAAAGTTCATTAGCATTTTAGCGGAGTTGTTGGAGTTTCACCTCACCTAATCTTTTCGAACCGGAATTCATTCTATCCCATTAAGCTGCTGCTGCTGAATTCCGATTCTCCGATGAGCAACTCCGATTCTAATGTACGGTTCCCTGTTTCATTCAAGCTTATGAATTTCCTCATTTGTTCTATGTAAATTTAATTGAGGATCAGGTTTGGTTTGGTGTTTTTGGTTTGTTCAGTTCAGGTTGTGTTTTTAGGCCACAACCCAGAGTATTGGGGGTCATTTTTTAAAAGTTGATTCTTTTGATTTTCAGAGCAGATTCTAATTTTGTAGTTGAATATGCATTTTAAGCAAGTTGTTGTATCAATAGAGTTAGCAATTGTGAAGATACATCCATTTTGATTTTCTTTATTCGTTTGATTGTTTCAAGTTCCAATTTTATGAGTTGGGATACTGAGGGTAAAATTCCGTGATTATTTGAATGGATTATGGTGAAATTGCTGCTTTTTTTTTAATTTAAAAATTTTTGATATATGGTTTGGTAAATTTAGTTCTGAATGAAGGTGTTATGTGTTTTTGGATAAGATATGATTGAAACTGTTGAATTCTTTCAGATATTTCCTTCTTTTTTTTTGTTTATGTTTTTGTGTTTCCTGATATGATTGGCTTATTAGATGTAAGTATCCTTTTCTGGTCTTTGATAATTTAATTCCTAAACTTAATGTATCATGTCTGTTAAGGGATATTCATCACCTCATTGGAATTTGGTTATTATGTTTCTTGTATTCCCATGTTGGCATTTTACATAATGAAAGCTTGACTCTGATATCGGTCACTGGATTTTTACATAATGAAAGCTTGACTCTGATATCGGTCACTTTTGAATAAGCTGCAGGAAAGAGGTAATACCTTGAGAGTTTCTTTGGTATCTTAAAAGTGATTAATCCTTGAAATGGAATGATTGTTTATGATTTTTTTATTAGTGAGTTTGTACGATTCTGAATGCCTCAGATAACTATAATATAAGCTGAATAGGTTGTGAATTACTCACTGATAGAATGATAAATGATTGTTACTGTAGGGATTGACAAAGTTATGATATCTTGTGTTTATGTTAGTGATGAGAAAACAATTCCTATTCACTTTCATGTATACTAACACGAGGATTTATTGAAAATTTTTGTTTACCTCACTTTGTGTAGAATTCTCTCCAGTTTGGCTCTTTGGTCAATGACTTCCCCTTATGGCAATAGAAAAATCAAAGTGCACAAGCTATATTTATATGTGATATTTATTGACTAGGCTTGCCCTCCCTTATATAGGGATTGGCTTTCCAAATCTTCTTTGCATAGGAACCTATTCATGTATAATGCCCCGTAGGTTGTCTGAATTACCTTGCCAATAAATTTTCTCTGGAATTATCATGTAACAGATATTTGAAAACAACTTGGAACTTCTCATCCCAGCATAAAGAAGCGCCGACCATTTATCCTTAGTGGTCCAGTCATATGTGGGACAAAGGCAATCAGATGTTGCTAGCTGCATTTAGTTGCATGGTTCCAGTTTGGTCACTTATTAATCAACAGACTTTTGCTAATTTAATCAAGAGACACATCAAGTAAAACCATGACTATGTTGCGTCATAGAGATTATTTCAGTTTATTCAATCAATTACCTTTTGCATATTGCATGTATGAAGCATAATAATTAATATTCCTCTTCTCATTTGAGAAGCATAATGACAAGAAAGACCCTAATGTTGTCTTTGTTGGAAAAAAGTACACGTTTTACATTAGTTGATAAAGTGCCACACGTCTTTCTCGACACTTCATCTGGTCGCAGCTAGTGTCCTTGAACATTGTTTGCCTTGATAATTAGCTTTCCAGTTTTTCCTTTCTTAGTTGTTCGGTGCTCTCCGTACACATAGGGCCTTAGTTATTTGTCTACATGTGTATGTAAACGTTGCCATCTATACTTCTATATAGATGAAATTCTCACTCTTTTTCTTGTCTTCCCTTTGAACAGGAAAATGCAGGTGCTGTACCAAAGGAAAACGGCTTTAACTGTTCATTCTCTCTTTTGAGTTCCGAGAAGGCATTAGAAGGCTTTCTTCAGCAACCTCTTAACCAAGGATCTGATGACCATCTATTCGAATTTTCAGAGGCTCTTAGAAGTAGGATGGAAAATATAGTCTTCAACTTACCATTTGAACTGCTCATTTGCTCGACATGACTTAATCTTTTAAGTATATGTTTCCACTTTTGATTTAGCTGTTGCAAAGGCCTTGAGACGAGTTTCCGAGGGCAAAGCCACGGCACAAGCGGAGGCTGCAGAGTGGAAACGTAAGTATGAATTAGAGAGGAAGCGCAACCTGCAGTTAGAACAAAAAGGTACTCAGTTATTGGTTTTTGTGGTTAATTTTTTTATTCTTTTAATCACGGAGTATCATTGATGTTGTAGCTTTTCCTTTTCTGATTAGTTAAAGTTAGAACTCATCATGTACAGTTGGTCTAATGCAAGACTATCAGCAAGTACAGATCTCTAATAGTGTTCTGTAGAAAATCTTAAATTGCTATCTTCTTTGTGTCAAATTCAATTTTCATGTGCAATCCAAATAGCCTTTCTTGGGTGTGATGAACCAGTTCTGGACTGACGTTTGGTGTTGATGAAATATAAGTGGATCAGATGTAATTTATTACCTGGTGGTGGTAGACTGGTGGTTGAAGCTCTGACTCTGGTTGGGGAAGTAGAATGTTTTCTGGCATTTGGCAGGATATATGAGCAAAAATTTGAATTTAGAGCTGTTGCCCAACCAACAGGCTTTCATTTTACTTTATCATCTTTTTCCAATCAGTTCACTGTACTTTTAACTTCCATAATGACTTTTTTTTTGGCCAGCTATTAAATGCTTAAGGTAACTTTGGTTTGTACGATGGATGGATCTGGTTAAAGTGTGCATAGAGTTACATTATAAAACCCAGCCATAGAACTATCGGAAAAGGAGTACACTGCCGTAGCAGAAAGATTGTAGTGACGGAATACGTTCTTATTATGGTTGTTCATTAAAATCAATGCTAGTACTTAGAATGAAACACTCATAAGTTTTGGAAAGCTGCGCCTGATGAGATTGCTGTGAGTAGTGAATTTATGGAATGGCATAATGAATGATGTGCAATCTGTATTTACCATTTTAATCCATCATCTTTGCATTCATAAGTCTGGCTGGCATTTGGCAGGATATTTTAATCAAAGTGTTCACTTCAGTCATTTATAGTTTCATCAAATTATTTAGGAGTATGATTATTTAACATGTATGGTAATCTTCAGTTAATCCTTGTACTAGGGACAAAGAGTTAAATCCACCCTTGATTAACTAAATACATTGTGTTTTAACTGTAGGGCTGTCTACAGGTCATGTTCATAAGAAAACTGATAAATTGGAAGACCAAGTATCGTTGTTGACTATTGATCCGGAGGAGAAACTGTGGTGTTGTGGGGAAAATGACATTTGCTCTCATGAGATTCTTAAGGATGGTGAGACTGACAGCAACCATAGTGCTGCTCATGGCAAAATGTTGCGAAAGGTAGCTGTTCACTATGTACATAGTGCACTAATGGAACTTAAATGCATCTTCTTGCAGAACTGTTTATAGTTTTCACTTGCATATTGTCCATGATACGCTATAAAGTCTGAATAGTAGACATACACTTGCTTAATGCCGATGCCATTCATATCTGTCTATTGTCATTGTTTCGTGATTTTACTGGGACGATTTATTGTGCGGTTGCTTTGACTTTTCCTCCCTCAAAACAGGCATCTTTTAAACTTTCTTGGTGCTGCAAAGGCAATAAAACTGATCAGCAGAAACATGATGTAGTCTCTTTTGAAAAGGGAAACATAACAACCGCCCAACGGAGCAGTAAACAGGTATTGCCACTGTCTAATATCATCTTTGTCATGATGCGTCCATGACTACTCCATCTTCCGTAGAATGTAATTTTGTTTCTTTGATGTTATTAGCTTTAACTTTTAGGTGGACCTGTAGTTTCTATATCTGAATAGACCTTGTTTAAAACAGATATCTTTGAAGTGGGAATCTCCTCCATCAACTGTGCTAATTCTGACCAAACCAAATTCGGCCTCTGTTAAAATCCTTTGCTCAGAAATGGTCAGGTAGACTGAATGTATCCTAGATTCCCTGTTACCAGTTTCGGAAGCGTGTACATTTCTCTTTGCATCTAATCGCGGTTATCATGTCAAAATGAGAATATGCTTAATTATTTTTTCCTCTTTTGACATGGTTTTTCTCTTCAATGTAGAGTTTCTTAGTTATTTTCCTTCATATATCATTTTACAAAGGTTTCCTCCATAAGAGGAACGAGTCATGGTAGTAATTATATTTGAAGTCAGATAGTAGTTTCTGTAGTTTCATGGTTGGTTTTGATAACCAGTCTTTACAGACTATGTTTATAGACTTCAGGACTTGATTTGATAAGAGACCCAGGCTCATGCCGTCAAAGGGCTGATCTGGGTTTCATAATTATCCTGCAAAATTTTCCATGAAGTCAAAGTATTTCGTGGTTATTTGTTTCTCCGAAACTGAATTCTTTTCTCTTTATTTTTGGTGAGACCAGGTAAATTTTTAATTCTGAGAAATTCCTCTTGTAGGCAGTGTGGTACCAAATCTCAGCATAATTTAATCTTTGTCAAAAGTTAGCAAAATGGCTCTCCGACACAGCATTGGGTACCTTGCAGCATCTCGCTGGAAGAGCCTTCTGTCACTAAGTAACCCTTATTTGACTTGCATGATTGTGATGCAGTACGTTATTGAGTTTGGCTGGGAATAGTGTCCAAAAGCAGTTGTTTTTGGCCATAGTAGAGGATCATTAAGCATCTGTTGGGTAAATTATTCTGAGGACTTGGACTTGACTTATTTAAGTCATGTAAATTCTGCTTGCCTAGAGTAACAAAACCAAGGTCAAATTCATTTGGATTTCAAACATTCGTGAATCGCACTATGGAATCCGTCACCATTGCTAGCAGCATATTTTATTGTCTTTCTTACTTATTTTTGTCTCATGGACTAAGGTCAACAAAATTATATTGTGTGAAATTGTCCATGTGGATTCAGTAATTTGCTCTCCCTTTTGTTACTGTCAAGCATTCATGACTTGTTAGTTGTGACATTTGAACTAATGAAACTTTGAGAAAATTCAGTTATTTGACTTCAATTTTGGTAAGTGCTTTAGTGGTGTTCTATTTATTTCTTCTAATGTTGGTGTCATGTTTTCTTTGTTATAACTTACATTCCTTGGAGTTCCAGTTTTAAGTTTTAACCTTGGTTGGATTTATTTTCTATCACCAGATGGTTGAATGAGCAGAAAAAGCTTAACATCTTTGTTGAACCACGAGTACGCTCAGAACTTCTCGGAGAGTCATCATACTATAACTTTGTGCAAACCTGGAAAGATGGTAACTTCTCATACAAATTTGCCCTTTTGAATAGCATCTTAATGATTTTCTATATTCTTCTATGAGAGATAGTCTACATTGATTTACCGTCTTGGTGATTGTGCTTTTGTGCTGACATTGTTTTGGAAGGTGGAGATAGTTATGCATAATGGCTAAGGGTATTTTTTACGCTAATGGAGAACAATATCACTAGTAAAATATCAGTGATTTGTACTTTCTGAACTAAACAAGTTCATCGATTCCATTTCTTTTCTCACTTTAAAATTCCTCAAGTTTGGCTTCTAGTAGGATCTCCCTTGACTGAATAATGTATATTGTCATACCTCATACATTAAATTCTTGAGCATGTCGAGGGAATGTGTTTTGTCTTCCCTCCTACATTAAATTTTTGAGCAAATGAAATTTGTCTTGCCCTTCTTTCACCTTGCTCGGGTGAGCAATATTGGTCCATTCCAACTTATTTTCTTTGGTCTTGCTGTCGAACTTCATGCATCTCATATCACAATTAGATCTCTTAATTTTACCGATGAAATTTGATTATTGTCTTCTCATTGTTTTGTGTAATCTGTGGGTATCAGTGTTTGCAAACTTATCATCATTCTTCGACAGATGACGAAGTGCTGCTCTTGCACACAAAAGTTGATCTTGTTGTGACTCTTGGCGGGGATGGAACCGTTCTCTGGGTATGTGCTTTGTATTGGTGCTCGGATCAATTGGATTTATTGTTTTTGTTACTTTTTCCTTCCTGTCAATGGGATTTCGAATGGCCTTACTTTTTCATGCCAATTATAATTCCAATCCTTTATCCATCGAGGAGGAAGGAATTAGAGATGAGGTGGAATCTCACAGAACTTATGAAGCATGTTAAAACTGTAATGAACAATGAACGACGGGTAGGGATTGTTAACATCACTTGGCTTTAGCTTTACATGTATGTCAGTTGCTTCGCTGATATGAGCTATTTTACAACACTACTTCTATGGAAGGAGTTCGATTTATTTTCTTGCAAATTGATAGTCTTTTTTTAGATAAAATCTGTGAATTTTGAGTATAAAGTAATTAGTAATGTTTGCTCCAGGTTCTGTTATTCAAGGTTGTGACATTTTAGGAAAGCTTCGCTGGCATTACTTCACTATATTATAATAGTCTTGTTTTCTTCGATAGTATGAAAATGTTTCGATGCAAACTGGCAAGTATTTTCTCGGGATGCATGCACTTCTGAGTAGATGAACTGACATGAAACAAGTTGACAAGATTCACTTGGCTAGTATTATTAGCATTGGAAACTTGGATGGTGGGTAGTAAAAGTTTGATTAAATGAAGATTGATGGGTATTTCTGTTAGAGGTAGTGTATCTGAAGTCAATGAAAGTCTGCTGATATCTTAATTGCTATAAATTATTTCGTTAAATAATGTCTTGAAAGCTTCCCAGTTCATGTCTGGCTTCTGGCTTGAGTTGTTTTCCTGTCTCTTTCATTTGCTATTGTTTCGTGTTGGTGATTCACGGTTTTGTTTCTTATCTTGAAATCGAAATCAACCAGTTATTCTGGTACTTATACTTCACTTAGCCGCTTTCATTTCTCTCCTGCTCTTATTAGGAATTAGGGGATCTCAAGTTCCTTGGTGCAGTTTACTTAGCTATCTTGTCAATTAACATTATTGCGATATCATATCAATTTACATAAAAGTCATTGATACTGAGTATTAGACAAGTTGTATAGAACTGTTGAAGGCTCGGAATTAGCAAAAGTATATCAGAAAATAATGAAAAAAGAATCTGGTAGATTTTTGATGAATTGGTTGATCAACTTAGAAGAATTATGCTCGGTTGAAAAGCTGGGGAGACTGTCCTTAGAAAACTTGTATCCAATAAGATAAAATGTAAATTACAGATAACGAGACCTCATACTTACTGGTGAAGATGGCACTCATGGACACCAATTTAAATTGTATAAAAAAGTTGATTATGTTAGTAATCAGGTTTGTTCATATAGAGTGTGCATGCTTCTTGCATTGTTAAAGAGGATATTACTGTAATGCTTCAGAGCAGATAATGCATTTCTGATTCCGCCCTCAATACTAGATACAGATGAATCAAAACCTTCAGATTACTTGGATAAGAAGCCGTACATATTTCATGCTATCAGTTTCCTAAAGTCTGATGTAAAAAAGAAACCTTCGATATGGTTGAAATTTGTTTGTTGTTCAGACATGGGTTTATATCTTCTTCAATCTTGGTGCATACTGTCATTAGAAAGCAATAAAGGCTTGACCAACTTTCCTAAGTTCTTTTCTGGGTATTCAGTCATGGACGTCTAGGGAAACTGGACTGATTTTTATTTCGATAATTTGATGATTTTGAACGTCATTTGATAAAGACGAGAGATCACTTAATGAACTTTCTACAATCGTAAAAAGCAGGAGCAACAGTCATTGGTATTCTTTATTTATCCGAACCTGAAGCTTTTGACGCATGTTATTGTTTTCTCAGTTATATGGTCTAGTCTAGCGAAAGAAATATGTTAGTGTGTACTTGGAGCAATTTTGTTAAATTATATCCTTTCTCATCTGAGAAAAAGTTCCTCTGGGTGTAAACATGTCTATTTCCTTCAAATGAGAAATGCATAAGACATTATGTCTAGCCAACTTGGTGAGGTCTTGAAAGTAGCTTCAGATCATGCAGCAATTAACCTATAATCAGTACAATGTTATTAAATTGTATCCTTTCTCATCTGAGAACAAATTCCTCTGGCTGTGAACATGTAGACTTCCTTCAAATATGAAATGCATGAGACATAATGGCTAGCAATTTGGTGAGGTTTTGAAAGTGGCTAGAAAGCATTTAGTTTACTCATTACCTTACCAGCACATGTTTGTTTTTCAGACACCAAGTCATGTATAATTCGAAATTTATTTGGTGATCTGTCTTTGCTAAGGGGAGGGAGACTGGTTATGATCATGCTCTTGATAAGTTATAAAAGTTAATAGAAGTACGGTAGAGGAAGTACACAGATTTGCCTTCTACCAATCTCTATGTATCTTATTATTTTAATAGGACTGTGTTATTTTTTTTAAAAAGGAAAAAGCAATGGTTGTGTTTAATTCAAAATCAATGCAATTGTATTTGAAACCTACCATTTCTAAGCCATGGTAACTTCGTCTAGGTCTAAAGAGTATGAAAGGTTTCAACTTAAAAAACCTGAGACATCTATGTCTTGCCACTTTAATGAGACCCTGAAAATGGCTTCAAAGCATGTTTTACTAATTGCCTAACTACTGGCAAGATCAAACTATGTATATTTCTCTATATGTTCTAAATACTATGGTTGATGTGTTACTTTTGTCATTATTTTAACAATCAGATCAAATTTGTTCTACATATTAATGATATATGTTTCATGGAACTGAAGCAATTGATAAACAGGCATTTCTCAGTGAAAAATAGGAGTTAATAAACCCCCATTAGCAATGTTAAAGTTTAGATCCTGGTCCTTCAGTAGTTTATAGTTGCTTTTGATTTTGCAGGCAGCATCCATGTTCAAAGGTCCAGTTCCACCAATCGTCCCATTTTCTCTTGGTTCTTTGGGGTTCATGACCCCATTTCGTATCCTTGGAAGTGGTTCTGATTATTTCAAACATCGTATATTCGAATAGTTTAACATTGCGTCCCTCTTTGTTTTCCACTTATTCATATTTTTGCTTCTATAGCTCTGGCTTGTTGGACGATGCCTTCTTTTATTCAGTAGTCAGATTGTAATGAAATTTCCTTTTCCACTTCTCTCTCAAGTTCATCTTTGACAAAATCAGATAGTGAACACTACCGAGAATGCCTCCTCTCAGTTTTACAAGGACCCATAAGCATCACCTTACGACATCGGTTGCAGTGCCATGTGATTCGAGATTCTGCAAAAACTGAATATGAAACTGAAGGTCCGATGCTTGTTCTGAATGAGGTTACTATTGATCGTGGGATGTCATCTTTCCTTACGAATCTGGAATGCTACTGTGATAACTCCTTCGTCACTTGCGTACAAGGTGACGGATTGATTCTATCAACAACCTCCGGAAGCACAGCATATTCCCTTGCTGCTGGAGGATCAATGGTTCATCCTCAGGTGATCATGCATTTTTTCTTAAATGTTTTGTGTATGGATGTGCTGCTGATTACATTATCTGTCTCAACGAAAGATATGGTTAGCATTTGATATGTCTGTGAAGAATATAATATTTTATAGTTTTAAAAATTAATTTTATTTATGAAGAAGTTGAGCTTGTTTTCTATGGTTCAGAGATAGATAGGTGTGATTTCTGAAAATAGTCCACTAGATGATAAATAATACTCCCTCCGGTCCTTATTGTAAGGCCTTCTTTAAGGTTTCTCTTAGTCTAGTGTAAGGCATTTGATGTCTTTTAAGTTTTATTTGTGTACTTCCAAATATGTCCAATTTTTAATTTAATATCAATACTAAACAACCTCTCAAATATACAGGATAGATTTTAATTGGGTAATGTAGGTAATTTAGTCTTTTTGTAAGACAAATAAGTACCTTAACTAACTTTTCTTAGTTTTGATGATATACTCATTTATGCGATAAATAGGACCAAAGGGACTAATGTCCTGTGAGTGCAGTAATTTGGATTGATTTGCTTCTAGTCTTTAATTGATCTTCATCCGTGAAGGTTTCTAGCAGCTGCACTCCTAACCATTCCAGTGCTCTACCACTAAATCACTAACACTAGCAATCTCTATGGAAAATGGAGCTTTTCTCGGTGGATTTCTTTCTTGATCTTCAAATTGAAGAGCATTGAGCGTAACACTAATCGTACATCCATATGCAGGTTCCAGGAATCCTGTTCACACCCATTTGTCCCCACTCATTATCTTTCCGGCCTCTAATTTTGCCCGAGCATGTAACGATTCGAGTCCAAGTGCCTTTCAATAGTAGAGGTCATGCATGGGTATCATTTGATGGAAAGGACAGAAAACAATTGGCTCCTGGGGATGCGCTCGTCTGTAGCATGGCGGCTTGGCCCGTTCCAACTGCATGTCAAGTTGATTCCACAAGTGATTTCTTACGAAGTATTCATGATGGTCTTTATTGGAACTTGAGAAAAACACAATCTTTTGATGGTCCTCGGGATGAATTTGATAAATTGTGAGTCTTATTAGTGGGTGTACATGAATGGAAGTTATACATGAAGTAGTAGCAGAGATGATTTATGAGTTTACCGTTTGGATCATCTCTCCCGTTTCCATGGCTGTGTAGAGCTTTCTTACCAAAAAATTATGATTGGATATGGTAATTATAGCATATGAGGAAAAGCAATGTAGTAGTGTAGTTCCATGCCTAAGGGTTATTAGTCAAATGATATACTAGAATACTGTTGTTGTTAGTGTTAGTATATCTCTTGATTGTAATCTTGAATAGAATTATTTTTTATTTATGCTTTGTAAAGTAACACGAACTAAATGGCAATACATGAACTAAATGGCAATATATTTGACTTTTTTTTTTTTTTTTCCTTTTTTCGTTTTCCAGATTTTGTCCCAAATTTCGAATCGGCTGTATCCACCAAACTAATAAAGTGATGTTGAAATGTTGAAAATTTGAGTGAAGAAACATTAACTTGTGGCGGCATTAATACTCACTCGAGGAAGATAAATACTTATCAAGCCCCAATTTGACATCTCTCAAAACAGTTTTCGATTTATAAAAAGTTGGAATTCTATTGCAAAATGGTGTTTTACATCTTCAACATTTAGTAATTTCCATGAGGAGAGTAAGAGGGAGAGAGCTTAAAGAACAATCGTATGAGATGAAGAGAAATTATAGGCCTATATGAAATGTTTGATTTTGAGTTTTGATTGGCAGTCATCTTCTGCTTCATTTTCTGACTCCGTAGGGAATCTAAGTATCCATTGTCGCCAATTTTGTGCATAATTGAAAGCCAAATTTTCCTTTGATGAGTAACCGAAGTTGTCATAGTCTTTTAGAAGTAAACATATAATAATAGATAATGAAACAATACCTTTAATTATAATTTCAAGTCTAACCTTTTTAGAGGTCTAGGTATTGAACCAAGTATACGATGGGAAACGGTTTTATAAATGTGATAGATATTGTCAAAGAAAACTGATACTCCTTTGTCCCAATAAAAATATTCCCTCCATTTCAAAATAGAAGTTATTTTAAACTTGGAGAGATTTTTAAAATGTAAATCGTTTTAGCATTTCAAGGCAAATTAATGAATATTTTTCCAACATTACCCTCAATAAATAATGTCAATCCATTTTTATTTAGTCTTGTTTATAATTCCAATATTATTGTTCAAAAGTTTGAGAATATTTCCTATTGAATTTTCTAATTTTCTATTTGTATTGACTTCCATTTAGAGTTTACAATTAAAACTTCAATTTAGATTTGAATATACAATAACTGAATATAATTTATATAATTACTATAAAAATTTATAAAAATTATATAAAAATAATAACAATTTTAATTTTCAAATAATATTATTTAATTGTTAATTATTCGATCTAGAAATTTGTTGAAAAAAAAAGCCCAGCTAGGGACTACCCGGCCTGGAGTGGATTCTCTTTTTCCAAATTCTTCAATCTAGCATTTGAGTAGGGCGTATTCTGATTATAGCCCACTTTTACATCAGGTTAATGTAAACACTGTGTCGAAGCCTGTTCAGGTGTCGAAAGATGTAGCTTCGAAGAGTAGGGTTTTTGGATATTGTTCGTCAAATTTGGGAACAAGTGCTTATGAGATGCTTGTATTTACATGAAACTTCGAAGATTGAAGCAGCGTCTGAAAGAATGGAATAAGGCTGAATTTGGGGACGCGTTTCAAAATCTGAAACTGACGGAGAAAGATGTGCGAATCGAAGAGTTCAATTACGATAATTCGAAGGCTGTTGAGGATTGTATTGTATTGAATGAAGCGAAAGTTCATTATTTCTTGAAGTTAAAAGAACACGAGAATTTCATGCAATACGAAATATGGTTAAAGAGGCTAAAAGAGGAAGATACTAATTTATTTTTTTTTTTTCCATGCTTCACTAGCGGGAAAAAAGGCGAGATTGGGAATCCACAAAATAATGGTGGAAGAAAGCAATTGGATTACAAATATTGCTGAAATAGGGTCTAAGGCTATTGAACTTTTTAGCAATTTACTCTAAGCAGAACATATTGAGGGCCCGATGCATCTATTATCACATTTGAAGAAAATGATAATCTATTGAGGCCTACTACCATGGAAGAACTCAAGGCAGCCGTTTTTAATCTTGATACATCAATTGCTCTGGCATAGATGGTTATGGAGAAGAATTTTATTGTGGATGTTGGGAAATCATCAGACAAGACCTCTTTTTGGTATGTCTTTAATTTATGGTGGGAGTGTCAGTACCACAACAATGGGTAACATGTTTATTACTCTTATTCCAAAGAAGCAATCAGTTTCTACATTCGCTGATTTCCTTGAATCAGTTTATGCAATTTTGTAAATAAGGTCTTCACTAGGATTTTGACTGAGAGACTAGAAATGATATTAAATAAGGTCATTTCCATAGAGCATCTTACATTTCTTGCTGGAAGAGACATTGCCGACAATATTATAATGACTCAAGATTTGTGTCCATTCTTGGACCACTTTATTGTTGGTAACAATCTAGTGGTCAAAATTGAGATGATGAACGTTTTCAGCTGTGTTTCATGTCAGTTCCTTAATCAATTCCTAGAAGCATTTGGGCTCCATTAAAGATTTATTTCTCTTGTAATGTGATTAATTCCAAATTATATTTGTCCCAAATTGGTATTATGAGATACTTTGAATCAACATATATGACCACGGGCTACTTTCCTCATTGCCATATTGGTTTTGAGGTTAAATCCCATGGGTTTCCACATAGTATTAGAGTTGGCCCGGTCTGTGGTGAATTTTAGTGATGTTATTCTGCAGCATGTGATGTCATTTCACAATTATTTTCCCGACCCAGCAGTGTATCTGTTGATTTAGTGCAAGCCCATTGGACTTGAGGGGGAGTGATGAAAATCCAAATTATATTTGTCCCACATTGGTATCGTGAGACACTTTGTATCAATATATAGATTCTATGGGCTACTCCCCTCATTGCCTATTGCTTTTGAGGTAAAATTCCATGGGCTTCTATCTAATGTCCAACTCATGAAGCAGCTGCTTTTCAATTTTCGTCAATGGAAGCCCAATAGGTTTCTTTCCAGCAACTCCTAGAATTAAGCAAGGTATCTGTTATCTCCCTATCTATTCATTCTTCTTTCAGAGGCATTTATCCGTAGTCTTAAGCTATTAACAATGGAGGGTAAGATAGCATTATATGGAATTACGGCCGGATCATTTATGGTCTCACATTTAAGCTTTGTGGATAATCTAATTATCTTCACAAGAGGTTTGAAACGTTAATGGCGAAACTTGAACAAATTTTTCAAGACTATAAAGTTATATTAGGGCAAAAGTTGAATAAGCAAAAGGGCTTTTTCTAACCTTGGAGGAAAGTGATTTAACACATGTAGATATGGTATCTCAGGAATTGGGTTGCAGGGTGGCTTTTTTCCCTTTTAATTATCTGGGATGTCTCCAATTCAAAGGGAGGAAAAAGGGAACATTTTTACTTTTTACTAGACTCATTTGAAACTAGATTCGGAAATTGGAAGAATAAGTTCTTGACACTGGAGGATGCTTAATTCTGATCAAACACGTTCTGTCTGCCATTCCATTTTATACCATTGCAGCAATATCCCCTCCAAAGTCAATCCTTGAAACCTTAGAAACTAAATGTCGGAATTTCTTGTGGGGAGAAAATGATGAGGGTTCTAAATGTCACCGGTGATCATGAAAATGCATCACATATCCAGTTCATGAAAATGGCCTCTGCATTCAAAAGTTTCAGAATATAATTGATGCTTTTTTCATGAAAATGGTGCAAGCTCCTTTTGGTTTGATCTATGGTTCGGACCAGAATTAAATTGCAATGTAGAAGATGCTACAATTTAACCATATAAGCTCTTAACAATTCGTGAATTTTTTGATCAAAGGGTACTTTTTTTTTTAAACCCAAGAGGAAAGAGTGTTTTACAAAGATTTTTAAAATTTCCTGACAACTTTTTTTTTCTTAAACTAAGAAACTGCCTTATGAAGATGATACTATAATCCCCTGGCAGTTCTATTTTAGAAAGAAAAAAATTTTTAAATCTAAGAACTGTTTCACATAGATTTTTCTAAGAGAAATCTCTAACAGTTCTTTTTTTTCTTAGTCCATTCCTATAATGATCTAAGTGTCTATTTAATTCTCAAGTAAGGAAAGGATCTCTTATCAAGGATAAATAATCCACGGACCCGAGAGGGGAGATTCCTATAAGAACTGAAGTCCATTGTCAAACCACTTGAACCAATTTTGGCTAATGCATCTACCACCATGTTGATCTCTCGGTATACATGTACAGCTTGATATTTCCTTCTATTGATGATAGATACAATCTCTGTTAAAGCATCATGATACTTCCAAGGAAAATCCTTACCTTTGTGAATGAGATTGATTGACAATTTGCTATCCGATTGTATTTGAGCTGTTTGTAGTCCATGACCATTACAGTATTTTAGTCCCTCTAGAATTCCAAGAATTTCGGCTTAAGACTAAAACCTTGTCCTAAATGTCCACATGCAGCATGAATCATTTTCCCATATGCTCATCGTATCATATAGCTTTATCCTGCGACACCGGGGTCCCTGTTGATGATATAGCTTCCAGGATCAGGGGGCTTCCGTGAAACCATTAGAACTCTTTTCTCCTTTGGAGGAGATACTCTGACTTGGAATATGTCTTCAAGCATTTTTCTCTCATCATTTGAGGCCGCTTTTAAAAAATGAATTCTCAGCATACCTGAAATATTAGCTTTAATTGAAAAAATAATAGAATCAAAATGACAATGTCTACCTTCATATACTACCTGGTTTCGCGCTTTCCATATCTCCCAAAGTATGAAGGCCGGTAGTGCCATGATGATTGTCTTCTTTGCCATACTAAACTTCCCCAATGAATACCATAGCTGCAAATATGTCCAAAGACTCTCCACTGTTGGTAAAATTAATCCCATAGCAGCCTCAAAAAATTTCCAGATTTGTTTTGCCAGGGGACATCCAAAGAATAAGTGATCTTGTGTTTCTCCTTGATTTTTACATGGAGGGCATATGGATAGAAATGAACAGATTCCCAATCGACCTATTGCCAGGAAAAGGCAATAAACGATTGTAAGTTTTCCCACAAAAGAAAAAAATACGAAGAGGTATTACTTGATGCCAGGAGAATTTAATCCATGGCGGTCCTTGCTGCGTTTCCCTTAATGATTTGTACGCTGATGCGATCGAGAAAGCTCCTGTTGTGGAAGGTCACCAAATGAATCTATTCTCTTCTTAAGAAAGCTGAACTGAGTCCCTTTGATGAAGTAAGAAAATGGTCTGTTGTGCTGTCAATCTGC